ACAACAACATTTCCAACAAATTAAAAACAAAATATACCATCCAGTGCACACAAGATCAACAACCAGTGAGACTGTTCGTCACTTACAACTTAACAGGTCCCCCAGCACACGTATTAAGGTTAAGGGTTACCACTCCACTCTCCATCGACACCCTCTGGCCACCCCCTCGGAATATATCTCTAGATTCTGCCTCTCTTCTGTGTGACAGACTGTATTTATCATCTGGGGGTTCGTGTTGTTTGAGTTCTTTCTTCCGTCTTAACCAGTAAAACACCAAATAACCCATGCAAAGTACGCTGACCTTGCACGGTTAGGCAATGACCCTACTAAACTTTTCAACTGCTCGCCCTTGGTGGTTACCTAGAAATAATTATGTCCATACCCTTGCAACTACAGGAAATATTTGGTTGAGGTTATTGCTGCCAAAGGCAGGTCAACCAGTTATTAAATACAAGGGTTCACATACTTTTTTTCACCCTGCACTGTGAATGTTTACATGGTATGTTCAATAAGAACATGAAAACATATAATTGTTTGTGTGGTATTAGTTTAAGCAGGCAGTGTTTGTCTATTGTTGTGACTTAGATGAAGATCAGAACATATTTTATGACCAATTTATGCAGAAATCCAGGTAATTCCAAAGGGTTCACATACTTTTTCTTGCAACTGTACATGTTCAGTTTTGAATGTAATAAGCCTTACAAACTTGCATATGAATTATAAATATCTGGCTAATCTGTATGTAACGAGTCAACAATATGGGAGAGTGTCTATGATTTGGCACTTTGGAGAACCATGACTTGTACATGTACTGTCCACATACAGCTGTCAATGATTTATCCATTTGTATCAAGTGTTTGTATGGTGTGTGTGTATGTTATTTCTTTCTTAGCTGGTTCCAGACTTTTGTATCTCAGCCCATAGTTTCAGTTTGTTCAGCGATTCAAACAGGTCTGGTGTGGTGCTCATCAACATTTCTTTTTCTTGGTTACAACCTGTGGAGAAGAAATAGCAAAGAAATCACTAACACACCTTGGTGTTTTGTGGAATGATACATATTGTTCATGCTTGAGAAAAACTATAAGAACAATTCACTTATAGTTTTTTTGACTGCCATTTTTCTTAAGATAATTTTATTTCTAGTTTATTGTTTCAAACTACATCATTCTCAGTCAACACAGAAGCTACAGTAGTGGCTACTAGGAGGAGTTATCTAAATGTTTCACACATTTTACACAACATTCAGAGAAATTCAGAGACATTCATACATCTCAGTCCTGCTGTCTCATTATGTTATTGTTGTTGATTGGCTTCTGTACTTCATGTCTGTCCACCTGGGTTTTACCATTCATCTCTCCTCACAATTTCAAAGAAAGGTGTGGAAGACTTATATAATCATTCAGTTTCTTGTTATAGCAGGCAAATTATATTGTAGTGATATATGTATCGTGAGAAATGTAGATTATAGACCTTTTCGACAGCAGCCATTTTAACATGACATAATAGGATAAACACAGGTGTTACCAGTGATACTAATGAAGGTTCCGTTACATTCAGGTCAAACAGAGGCCGTTTTCACACGGCAACGATTTTGCTAAAAACAAAAGGTTTCACTTTGAGTTTTAAAAATGTTCGTTGCACAGATTTTCTTAATTTTGTCTGGATGGATGATGAATGAGGTTTTTACTCAGAAAACATTATTTGTGAATAATGCCAGTCAAAATACACCAATATTTTGGAGGCTTGGCACATTGTTTTGCTGCAAACATAATAGTCATACACGTGGTAAGACTGTGTCTTCACCATTTTCACAGAAAATGCATATTGCCAGTTTACGTGGCCACAGTAAGGGGGATGGCACTCTCGAAGCTGGTTTTAAACGTTTGTATTTTCAGACTCCCAAAACAGCATTGTCATGCAAACAAAAGGCCAAACCACAACAAAAGGTCAGGGTTGCTGCTGTTGTGCATGTTGGCTCAAGGGAAAGGCTCTGATACACTAAAAGGGACAGAACCTTAGTTAGTATAATTGAAAATTGCGTTTATTCTACTATTTTGTGTCAAAATGGCCTGTGAAAAGGTCTTTTATATTGTGGTCATGTCAAAACTGTTTATCTCAAGATGGCTATTAGAGTAATTAAAATGGGATGTCAGGCCTAAAAATCTAGTCTTGACCTTCATAGCCTACCGTGCACCTCTTCATTGATATTTGTAGTCTGGTTCAGTTTCCTGCTTCCTCAGTTAGGCCTTTTCCACCAACAGGGTGACTAGCTTTGGACCGGTTCACTTAACTTGTTTTGAACTGTTTGAGCATTTGGACCAAAACTAAATTGGTTTGGGGACCTAAAAAGTTGGTTCCCAGTTGGAACCAAAAAAGAGCAGTTTTTTCCTGGGAACCAAAATGTAATGTGCTCTGTTGATGACACATCCTTTCATTACACTAGTTCCACTTAAAACTTGTGGAAAAACAGGCTGGTTTAGATAGCACCACAGATCCTAGAATCTTAAATGGAAGTGGTTCACGAACCAGAGCTAATTTGTGTTGTTCCTTTCTAGATGAGAATAAATCCAATTCCATTCTTGGACCACTGCCTTACATACCTGCCCCTCAGTGGAGAGGGCACGGACACTTGAAACTTTCATATAATCATTAAAGATCTGATTGGGCTTTGAAATGTCACTCTTGTTGATTTAAGATGGACTATAGTTTCAGGGGAATTGGTCACCCTGCATTCTTCTGTGTATGATTTCACATGTGGCTCAGGGGCAGCTGTGGCTCAGAGGCAGAGCGGGTTGTCCCCCGATCAGAAGGTTGTTGGTTTGATCCCCCGCTCCTCCTGCCATGTGTCGAAGTATCCTTGAGCAAGATACTGAACCCAATGTGTATGAATGAGTTAGTTTCTGTTTGATGGACTTTGCCATTGCTGTGTGAATGTGTGTGAAAGGGTGAATGTGGCACTTACTGTAAAAGCGCTTTGAGTGGCCGGAAGACTAGAAAGGCGCTATACAAGTACAGGTCCATCCATTTACCATTTACATGTAAGCTGTGTGGTGTTAGCTTTCAATTATGTAATTTAGACCTTTCCTGCAAACATTTGTCTTATTACCTGTATCAAATCATACCAACAAATAGTATAAGGGTGTGAATGAGTGATTTAATGATTGTGTTTCACACTATTGTTAATGTAGTAAAAGGTTTATCTAACTGTACTCTGATCATTAACTTTTGAAGACGTCTAATCTTGATCTGAACTGTAACTGTGTGAGACAGTATTGGTTAAGGTCTATTTACTTAAACTCGTGATGATTACTTGTGAAAGATGACAATTGATGACAACTTTTGTGAACAGGATAATGACTACCTTTTGCATAATAATAGCTTGTGGGAACAAGATGATAACGTGTGTGAACAAAATAAAACGTGTACAATATATTAATATCTTGTTCACACTACATAATAGCTTCTTGATATTAAAGCTGCAGTAGGTAATTTTAATAAAAAATAACTTTTTGTCATATTTGCTGAAACTTTCACTGTATCCTGTGAAAAAAATCGGGTTCCTCCTAGTGCTCCTAATGGTATTTGCAAGAATTCACCAGGCCTGAACTGCCAACCAATCAGAGGCGAGAAACATGGGTGAATAAACTACCTTCAAGCCTTCAGCTCAAAGCATCTTTATATCTTATATCTTATCCTGCCTCTGATTGGTTGTTTTCATCCAGGCCCCTGTATTCTTGCAAATGCCATAAGGAGTACTAGAACAAGCCAGAGGAACCAGATTTTTTCAGAATATCTGTCTCATGTACAACTGCCAGAACACAGTCAAAGTGTCAGCAATAATGCCAAAAGTTATTATTATTTTTATAAAAGCTTTAATATGTCTCTCTATAACAGTTCAATTATTTATTTTTGCATTTTTATATGCTCACGAGTAGCCACGCGACACTAAACCAATTTCTGTAACGTGGTCTCAAACATGATTAAATTAAACTATTCAACCTTTGAAATTCAAACTAACCTTTAATCTGAAATTAAATGCTCCGCAC